AAACCGGCGGAATTTTGGCATTCATCTTTGCCGCCTGTTGACACCGCATGCATTTTTCAACCAACGCTGTGACATGTTGATCCATGTGAGGCCAGTATGCATAACTTCTGGCTATGGACTTCATTCTTTTAATCCCAGGATGCCCAAGATGGAACTGTTTCAGAACTTTTGCACGAAGGGATGCTGGCACCACTACTCTTTCACCAAACATCAGACAATCGTTGACGATGCATAGTGACTCCCGCCGCTGATACAGTTGCTTCATGTCACCTTCAAACTTTTTCGACGGCCAACCGCTAGTGACATATTTCATCGTCATCTTGATGATGGGGTCGTTTCCAGAAGCATTTTGTATGTCTGTTGCAGACACCGGTAATGCGCGAACTGCGGTTGTCAGATCACATTCTGCGTGGTCTTCTACTGACAGAGATGCGATCACCATGTTTTCCTCAGCCGCCTTCGTATACGCTTCTGGGTCATGTCGTTGTGATACCAGGTTGCATATGGTATTTAGCGGGACATCAGCCAATTTTAGCTGGTCGAGCCAATCTAAACCAAGTAAATTTAGATCAGCTGGCGTTATATAGCATACCCCAGTAAACGACGAATCCCGGAAAGCAACTTTACACTCCAATTGTCCTAACAGACGAAGATAATTACCACATGCTGTGCGAGGCTTTTGTGTTGTGTGCTGCAGGCTTGGGCTGCCCAACTTGGTCCAATTTTTGCGTGAGAGGATAGTGACATCAGATGCAGTATCTATTTGCATTCTACACAAATAACCGTTAATATTAAGAGTAATAAATTTCCTCTCACCTGGTGATGAACTTTGGCAGGAAGATATTAGGCTCAATGCATTGGTACTGGATCTAGGAACAGGCTTCTTAGCACTTCTGGATCGCTTTGGCTTTTTCTGTAGGCAAAAGCCATCTTTATGACCGATGACTTTACACTTCCTGCATCTATGCTGCCTAAATGGGCAGTTCCGTACATAGTGCCATGAACCGCAGTGCCAGCAAGCAGAAGGTGGATTCATTTTGGGTTTTTGGGCCGAATTGGAATTTTTCTTTTCACTAATGGAATGCACGTATGATGAGAGGCCCTTGTTTTCGACCATGGAGGTATCATGCTTCAAGTTTACTAATCTCTGGCACTCTGCAGTTATTTCTTGAAGCGAAATGTTTGGGCACTGTTCAATTTTACTTAGGATTCTGGTTCTTATATCAGCATCGTCGGGAGATTGTAAGCTGCACACAAACACAAGGCACTTAAACTGATCTTCCGTCATTGATGATAATTTAAATCGTTCGCATTCACGATTTACTAAGCCAGCATGCTTTACCCAGTCATCTTCATTTGACTTGATTATTTTGAGGCATTGATAACGAATATTAAAGAGAGATGACTGTTCAGAGAAGATTTGCGACAGCGTATCAATTGTCGCATCAAAAGAGAAATCTCGTGGGTTCTTTGGGAGGATGAAATTACTATAACGTTCGTGTTCGATTGTGCCGAGCTTTCTCAAAAGGATTCTGACTTTGGTTGCGTCATCAAGATTGTTGAGGTCGACCTTGAACAAATCCTCATACTTCTTAAACCAAGACTCGAAAGTCACACCAGCAAGGCCATCAAAATGAAATTCATGAATGGAATTAACTATCGAGTCTGTATGCGGATTATATGAATCATCGGCAAAACCTCTGTGATACAAATTCATTTGTTTCATTAACAGCTCCAACATACGTTCCTGGAACTGTTCATATCGTTTACCTTGACGTTCCAGTAAAGATTCTAACTGTTCAAGATTAATTGACATTGTGAATTGTGAGCCCCGTCGCCACTGATATGTTTTGTGGATATGGTTTTTACCCCGTCGCCACTGATATGTTCGGCACTTAGGATGCTTGATGCTATTACGAGTTTACCTTAGTCGATAAACGCGAACGATACTTTTACCAGCTTCCAGGAAGGCTACTTTGAATCCAACGGTAAAACAGAAGTCTTGGTAAGCGTAGAAAGTATATTCTACAAACACCCAGCAATCCAGTACAATCAAGCATACAACTCTCGTTTATTTATACAACATAACAACGTCCTTGAGACAGTTAAGAAAATAGCATACTAAAATACACTGTGGCCAATCACAGCCATTGATTTTCCTGGTGGGAGTTGAAATCTCAAGGTCATTTGATCAGCCCCTGCTGGCGAACGTGAAAAACCGAAATACGGCATTATCAAGTGAATTTTGGGGATCTAACATCCCCAACACATTGTTCTAACTGAATGTGTGGCCATAGTTGACTGATATAAGAGAAGAAATGTCATGGCGTTCGACTGCTAATTGATGTTCACGCAGGCGAACCTGAGGATTACGTCCATTTTGTTCCTATGTAGTGTTTTTCATCATCGCAATCTCGGAATGGTTTGGTCCAGATAGTTTGGGTGACTTTCATTAACAAATTATTGATTTAGGCGAACTTCCGCTGAAATCTGGATTCTTCTCTCCCACAGTAGATTATTGCTGATAGTGTTTGGCCAACGGATCCGAAGTATTTCGCGTAGACAACTGTTAGTAAATATTTGTATCTTCTGGATGATGACTTTCGTGGTTCTCCAAGTTTCCGCTCCATACAGTAGAACTGTCTTGACATTTGTATTGAGAATTCTGACTTCAGTGTTGTTTGATTTTTATTTTGAGTTCCAAATGTCATTCAATTTTAGAAATGCTGCTCTTGCTTTGCCGATCCGCGCTTTCACATCTACATCAGATCCACTGTGCTTATTAGTGAGGCTGCCCAGATATGTAAATGTTTTAACATCTTCCATAGCTTCTCCGTCTTTGGAGTTACCAGCTCTCACATCTAAAGCATAACTTAAATTTCATATTATATTGTCTTTCATGTTAGAGTGATAAAGGAATTAAAAATGTGACATCTACTTTTATAAAAATAAATAAATAAATCAAGCTTCATTTCAAAGCTATTTGTTAGAATTACATTGAAATTTCACTTAGATGACTTGTTATTTGTTACTTTTATTTTGCAAAGCATCAGTTCCACGTATGTCAGTCCCAACACAACCGTTATATTTCCAACAGAACAATGCAACTTCTACTTCTCGAGCACCTCCACCTCCACCGCCGCCCCCACCACCTCCCCCACCGCCACCACCTCCGCCACCTCCTCCCCCTCCTCCACCACCACCAGCATCTACACAATCGTCAAACACTCCTCCACCTTCTGTCACTATTATATCATCCCAAGCTCATTCAATAGCCAACTCAACTGGATATCAATGGAATCCTGCGATTAATGCAAATCACAATCAACCTCCTGTAAATCAGCAATTAATGCAACAAAATCCAAGGCCGGAATTTTCAACTCCAAATGTTGCCGGGTTTAGACCATACAATAGGCCACCATTATTGCCAAACGCACTTCTTCCGCGTAAGTACACATTGTTATTATTATTATTATTATTATTATTATTATTATTACTGTGGAAGGATCTTGAATATCTTGGCTTTATTCAGAGTTATCTTAGTTAGAAAACCATTAAAAACTAGGTGCTAAATAGCTGTTTTGTCCTACTTGGGAACTTCTCAGGAATGGGCAGTCTCATCGTTGATGATCAAACAGATAAATTTCAGGTCCCCAAGCCTTTCATCTATAGGTTTAATTCACATCGGCAGTGAAGTAACGTCAATAGATGTAGTCCCATGATGGCTGGTCACCAACAATGGGTTCATACGTCATTCGTTCCATCATGATTCTCGAGAGCATGTACACCTTTGATTAGGAATCAGGGTTTTCTAATCTTCCTTGATCAGTCTTCTGTCTTCACTAGCTTGGTTTAAGCGCTGTTGGACATTCACTTTTCGTCCTTTAAATTTTGTAAATTACACCACTGCTACGAGAAGGCAGTGACAGTAGGTATACGCGCACGGGCATGTGGGAGCATTCGTAGAGGGAGAGCAAACTCTCCTCACTATGTAGTACAAGGTAATTTGGATGCAATATTACTCATTTTATGGTCACTTCAAAAGTATGTATTACTAATTACTATTGATCTACAAATGTATTCTCTTTATAAATGTCACATTTCAGTATATTCTGCTATTCTATGCGTTAGTCTATAATATTTAAACGTTTAACTACTTAATTTAAAGTGGTATTTTTAAACCACGAAATCAACTCGAACTATTGCTATCGCTAGCTTTCACTGCTACATAAACAATGTAACCGAAATTTCGAGTATATCAATCATTTTTTGGCGTATAATTTCTTTCAATATTATAATTGCTGCTCTATAAGCTCTGTGACTTATAAAAGAAATGACGAATCGATCATTGTTAGACCGCCATTAGAAACCTGGAAGCATTGGACAGCAGTTTCGTTTTAGGATGAGATTCGTCAACAGTGAACATTCATGAACTCATAGGATGGGATCAAACCAAGGACATTCGGTCTCGCGCGCAAACGCTTAACTTCTAGGTCACTGAGCGGGCATCCAACGGTGATACTGTCTAACTCTGATCAATCTTAGCCGTGACTAATGGAGTGTGACCTTATAGGAAATAGGCGGTTACGTACCAAAAACAGTGGGTGAGGTTGCGCAAAAATTCTTAAGTTGATCAAAGTTAGAGATGATCACCGTTGGACGTTGGCTCAGTGGTCTAGAGGTTAAGCGTTTACGCGCGAGACCAAAGATCCTTGGTTTGATTTCATCTTGTGAGTTCATGAATGTGCACTGCTGATGAATCTCATCCTAGGACGAAACTGCCGTCCAATGCTTCCAGGTTTCTAATAGTGATCTAACAATGATTTCAATCTAAAACAACAATCTCCATAACTCTCTAGTGAATATTATGAATAAATAGAAAGCTGAGGTATAAATAAACAATTATTTAAGTAATTTGTACCATTTCAATGTGGTTTATTTTCTTTAAAGAAGTTTTACTATTCCGATTTATATTGTCCATTGTTTTTATTTCTGATTAGCTAATCAAAATAGACTTCAACAACAACAACAACAACCACAACCTTATATGAATGCACTAAATCAACAGAATCGATTTCCTAGAAATATGTCATTTGTACCAGGTATAAATAACAATAATAACAATAATATTAGTAATACTAATCAATCAGCATTACCTCGTCCTCCTAATACAATGCTTCCTCCACATTCATCTTCTTGGTCAGACATACGGTTTTCTGAATCATCATCAAATTCAAATATACCTGCTGGTATGTCATTATATAAAAAATGTGTATTATACTGTTTGTTTGATCATTGTAAATGATATCTTCTTTGAAGAAATTACAAATGAGACTAGTTTGTAGGCTGGGTGATTTTGAATGCTTGAAAGTAGTAGTATGTCTGCTGAGCTCAAATGGATTGATCACATGTGGTCTTTTGTGAATATTTCTCATTGTGGTCAGCGGTATACTTCTCTGACCTTGCTGCTCAGACTGGAAATCTTTCGTGTAAATTAGAGGAAATTATTTTGAGGGTCTGTATTTTCTAACCGTTCACATTTGTTATGGCAGAGCAACATCGCTGCAAATGTTGATTGTTTAATTTTACCGCTCTCAAACCTAAAGAAACGGGTACGCATTAATGTTCTATGTGTACATGATGTCTATCTATTACTGATTTCGAGAAAAACTCGAGGGTTGTTTATGGAGATGATGATATGAATTGAAATAAAGCAACTCATTTTCAAATGAATCAAGTATGTTGGTACAGTTAAGGGCTGTAAGAATAAACCTAAAAGCGGAACGATCATTAATTTTACTCGCTGTAAAATAAAGTCGAACAGGTGTAATTTTCGATCACTTATTCCCACGGTTGGTGGAGTTTACTAATGAGCTGAATGTGGAAAAGCTATTTGTTCTCATGAATCTACCACTGCCGTCGATAATATGATAACGATACGTTAAAAATAACTTTTATGGAATTCCTAGTATGTTTTACACAAAAGAAACACTAGTGGGAAAATGTGTATTGTAATAAACTAGATGTGGTTATGCACCACTTAAATCAGTGAATTTGTGTTTGTGGACCGGTATACTGACTGTAAGCCCAAACCGGAGCAGTTAGTTTTCTTAGGTCACCATTTCCAGAGTATTTCATCTATAGGTCTAATCTACAAAGCAATGAAGCAACGTAAGGAATTACTTTATCACCGTTGGTTAGAAATGAGGGTTTTCAAACTCTCTTAGATGAATCCTTCATATCTATCAGCCTGGTTTAAGTCTTGCTGTACATTCATGTTTCATTCTTAACTTTGTCAGCGACGTCCAAGCTTCGAGGAGTGAGTAGTGCACTTACCACTGTCTGTTGTACCAGGACATTTTCACTATCCTGTTTTACTGAGTTATCATCCTCAAAAAATATTTTCTAGTTATCTGTTGTTCCACCGCGTTTCTCCACAAAAAATTCAAGTTTATATTTTGCTCCAATCCAAATCTAGGTCATTGTTATGTTGTCGTTAATTAGTCGCTTTTTCTTATTTTTTTTACAACACTTTTATTCATTTTTATAATCTTATAAAAAAAAATAGGTAATTTCATGCAACAATCAAATCTTCCTCGTATTCCATCTAATTCATCATCTTCATTAAGTTCATATGAAATGCAAATGACTGAAAAATCATTTATGCCGCCACATTCATCTGGTCCAATGTTCAATTGTCATCCAACTGGATTATTAGGTCAGCAAATGCAACAAAATTTACCACTACCACATCAACAACAACAACAACTCCAACGACCTCATCATCAATTACAATTGGAGTCTGGATTTCGTCCAATGGGATCTGGATTACCGTTGAATAATTGTAGAATGCCAATGAATAATGATAATGTTCTCGGTGGTATGAATACTGGTGCCATCAGTGCTGCTGGTGGTGCTGTTATGCGTATGCAATGGTCTGCTAATAATAATAACAATAATAATTTCAATAACCAAACAACGAATATGCCACCGATATCTTCTTGCACTCCCAATGCGTTTATGCTTAATTCAGGACAAATGAAACCATTTAATCGACCAATGTTTCCACCTCGTGTTGTTGTCGGTGGTGGCACTGGTGTTGTTGCTCCACCACTTCCTCTACTTCCTCCCAGTGGTGGTGATGGTCTACCATTTCGATATCGAAATTTTCCTCCTAGAGGTGGTTTTCCTGGACGATGATGATGATGATAATCAGTTTCTGATTGCTTCATTGTAAATTGTGTATATTTTCTATGTCCAGATTCTTGAGAGAGAGAGAGAGAAAAAAACAGATCACAGTTTGTGTACATATTACTTAACAAAAATGAAGAGCAATAACAAATAGAAACCGGATAAGATTATTGCAAATCATGAGTTGAATGATGGAAAAAATTTTAATAGTCAATAGAATGGTAATAATAATAATAGTTACTGGTAGTAATGGTTGTAGTAAGTTACGTAATTTAGACTGCTTGTCAACTGATTATATAATCATTGTTTTTAATCTAAGCGGCGCTTTCTGCTTAACGCATAAATGTACATATATCTATATCTATATCTATCTATTTGTACTGTAGAGAGAGACAGAGAGAAATAAATTTGTACCATTGTTTATATATATATATGTTCTTGAATTGTTTTTTTACTTTGGAAAAGGGGTCACTGATAAAACTCTGCTTGAAGCCCTTCTAGGATTATTGTCGGCCCCAAGTCCGGATAAATAGGGAGGATTGGGCATGAGGTTTGCCACCCCATCCCGTAAAAATCCAACTCGCTAAAAAAACACTAACGAGAAAAATAATTTCCTAGTCTACGGCCCATACCCCATTAAGGCTAACAGGCGTAAGCAAGTAAGGTCATTGATAAACTAAATATATGTTTCTCTGTAGTACTTGTGCAATTTTTAAAACTGTATAGCCTAAAAAATAACAACAACAGGATGTTTAGCCAATGCCTAATATGTTTAGCTGTGATTATGTTACTCGCGTACCTGTGTAAGTTTGTGGTGAAATCTATCTAACATTCTAAATGAAGTGTGAAGGCCTTAGAGTTCGATCAAAGACAGAGTTGAAGTTTCACACTTCTGACAAATCACATTGTTTAAGGTGAAACAGCTCCTATTTCGATTCAGGATTTTAAGTAGTATCGTAAATTTTCAGTGAATAATATATGGCTCAAAGGTAGATACTTAAACCTTTAATTCCAGTTAGTTAGCTGTGGTTTACGGTTAGCGTTTTTTTCCAGAACCAGATGGAAAAACTTTCACAAACATGGGCAACATCATTGATGAGCAACGTGGATCTGATGCCGATGTAATGACAAGATTTTGATAAAGTAAGGGCAGCATTTCTAAAATTGAAGAACATGGAGAGGGAACTTCCATGGAGAACAATTGCAAAGGGATCAGGGTGGCAATCACTTCAACATGTCATAAGGTTCTGGGTCACAAGAAGCACCATTGTAAGGAATGGATCACTGTTTATACACTGGATAAGATTTAAGAAATGTGGAACAAGAAGGCAGCAATAAACATCAGCCGAACAAGAGCAGAGAGAGTCAAGGCACACTCTGAAAATACACAGAAGCAAGCAGGCAAGTGAAGAAGAGCACCAGAGCCGACACGAAAATATGTGGAAGATATAGCAATGACCGCGAAAAAGGCTGCAAGAGAAGGAAACTTGAGATCATTGTTCGATACAACAAAGAAGCTCGCTTGGAACTATCATAAACTAGAACGTCGAGTAAAAAGCAAGGAAGGCAAAGTAATCAGCAACACTGAAGATCAGCGTAACAGGCGGGTAGAGCACTTCAAGGAACTCCTGAATCGACCAGCTCCACTGAACCCACCCAACATCGTAGCAGCATCTACGGACCTCTCAATCGATGTTTGCGCACCAACAATTGAAGAGATCAGTATGGTCATCAGACAAATCAAGAGCGCAAATCAGCGGGACCAGACAACATTCCAGTAGAGGCAATGAAAGCAGACGTGGAAGCAACTGCATAAATAGTTCACATCCTCTTCAAGAAGATTTGGAATGAAGAACAAGTACCAACAGACTGGAAAGAAGGATACCTGATCAAAGTACCAAAGAAAGACGATCTCTACAAGTGTGAGAACTATGGAGGCATCACTCTTCTTTCAATAACAGGAAAGGTCATTAACAGGGTATTGTTAAACAGAATGAATGACTTCAACATCAACAGGCTGGATTTCGTAAGGATCGATCGTGTACCGGCCGAATTGCTACATTACGGATCATTGTGGAACAATCGACTGAATTGAATTCACCACCGTATATCATTATCATTGACTATGAGAAATCATTTGATAGCGTGGACAGGACAACACTATGGAGGCTTCTTCGACACTACGGCGTGCCTGAGAAAATTGACAACTTAATGTTTAACTCAACCGAGCTATATGGGCTGGAACATATGTTCCTGAAGGTTCTGCCATGCCAGGCTGGTCGATTGGAGAACGATGAGGCTAAAAGCAGCTACTCAAGGTCTGAGGGCGAAGTCGTACTGCTGACTGCAGAGGGTTGTGACAGCAGTAAGGTGTTTCCCTCGGACAACCAGCATCTGCAGCGATGCTGCCTTCTCACAAGGAAGGAAGGGTTAGGAAAGGTCGACCTTAAAAATGTCACACCTCACGGATTTCCGTCTCCATCGGTGAGGGTGCCCACTAAGGGCTTTTAAGAGCGGAGCTAATACTCAAAAAACTTCTCATCAAAAGGCCGTGCGTGACCGGCCTCAAGCAGTTGTCCCTGGGGCTCTGCGGTCACGCACCCAGGTCTCCAAGACCGACACTAATCTATCTTCTTTTTCAGGTCCCTCAAGAAACAACCTTCCACGGTGTGGGCCGCCGGGAAGTGACAACCGCCCTCATACCCGCAACAGCAGGAGAGAAAACTGGTCACAAACGAATCCTTTCTACACCCCCTAACATCCTCCTTATCTTCACGACTAACTCTTCTCTCATTCCGTTATCACCCCGCACCATTGCTGCAAACGATGGGAGTTCCCGAAAATTTATTTCTGGTCTCCTTAAACGCCGTTCTAAACTACATGTTGGAGCATTTAATATCCGGACATTGAGTGAAATAGGGCAACAGGCTTCCCTAGCTAGGACCTTAGAATCTCGCTCAATCGATGTGTGCTGCGTCTTGGAAATGCGTATACGGGATCCGAGTAGCGTCATGCACTTGACTTCACAATTTCAAGATAAAGAAGCAACTCGATTTATTCTTCGTTGATCTGGAAGTCCTGATTCTGCTTCCAGGGATCCCGCTGTTGTAGGTATAGCATTGAGTCGTTGGGCACAACTATCTCTCTTAGACTGGATTCCAGTAGACAAATGGTTATGACGCTGTTCATCGAGCAGATAATGGCGGGTCTGCTACATTAATGCTGATATAACCGCCTATTTCAGACAAATACTTAGTTTAAGTAGAAGGAAAAGCATGTAGATATGGCTGGACCCGACTACACCACATCGCTATCAGGCACAATTGGAAAGGCTCGAAAGAAGATTATCGCTCATTCTGGAGCACATATTTACATCCAGATCGTGCTCTAGTACGAGCACGTATTTGTCTGCGGATTACTACACGTAAGAAAGAGAGCATGGACACCCCTTAGAGTTCCATTTAACGATGAAGAAGTCGAGGGTACATTTCAGGAGCGACCAGATGATGTCCACCCCGAGGCAGCTTGTGATAATATCCATAAAGCTGTGGAAACAGCAGTGATTTGTCAGTAAGTTAAACCATAAAGTTGGAGAATCAGTGGCTTTCAGTAGCATCCTCCGAACTGACAGATGCTCGGAAACCCATCCCATCTGGCTCTGAACATGATGAATGGCATGGCTCCAAATCGTTTGCGATGCATCCATTCTTAGTCTGCTCTCAAATCCTAAATTGAATTTCTCATAACTTTCTTATTTTACTCTCAAATTCATTTCACTAGGCAATACTTCTCAAACGATGCGTTCGATTCCTAATCTTTTCGATTACTGCTACTAGCTCTACTACTATTGCATTTGAATAGACAATTCCATCTGTATGCTAATGTGGTATGGCGACTTGAGCTGATGTACGTACGTTACGACGTACTATGTTGTTGCTTAAAAAATGAATTCTAATCTGTTTCTATCATAAATATGGTCTATGAAAATTGAAAACGAACGAAATTTTCTATACTGTAAGATCAAATACTTTAATACTTATTACTGCTTTACTTAAAAGTACTACATATCATCAGCTTTTTCTGCATGAACATTAATTCGCACTTCTAGTCACATAGGTTTCTTCAACACAACTATACAATGAAGTACATCCAAAAGAGAGCCAGGATCCCGGACTAGGAATCCGGGTCATAAAACGTTACAGATAATGCATATTTATACATTTAGGTCGAATATGAAACAGCATCAAAGTCTGTGACATTGACGGTTAAGGCGACCAATAAGAAACAACATTGGAGTAAATGACATTGATATCTAGGACGACCATAAAATTGACCAGTAGGAATTGACCAATAATTATCTTAGAATATTGGATGAATATCCTAACACTGGTTTACCAAAATAGCACATCATCTTATCAGTTTGTTTAAAAATCATGCTTAAGCGAACCTTACAACCAAATATCTTAATCTTGACTGATTAACGCTCAAATCACTCAAAGATGGTTTTTTGACCAACGTTTATAAATCGAGTATAGGATCGACCGGTAACCTTCTAATGTTTATCAAATTAATCTGGCTCTACGAATAGATCGTGGTGATATGATTGTTCAAATCAATGATGTGGTGTGCGCGCTACTCACAAACTGGCACATATTAGTATGCAGTAGTAATGGAGCGTTGTCATTTGGATGAAAAGGTCAACAAGAACAAAATTGTATCATAACACTATTGTTGTTTTTGTGCAGAAAAAAATTACATACATTGTCAATAAATAAGAAATCATTTGTACATATTCATGCGTATAAGTAGGTTTATTCCATAAAGAACTGTATACACTCACGCATAGAGAGAGAGAGAAAGAAAAAGGAAGAAACGTAAGAGGAAATCTTATAATACAAATTAAGTAGCTAACACAGTCATATTTTGCCAAAACGTTTTATCTAAATAATCTAAAAATGAATTGACACGTTGTCGATGTGCTTCATTGTCCTGTGAATCAATCATATTGAGCATTGAATCGTCGTGATTATTGTTTATTCGTTTAGAATTCATTAATGGCTGCGAAAAAAAACAAAAGTGGTTTCTTGTTTGAATTGGATAAGTTATTACTTTACCAAGTGATTTATCAGCTAGACAGCAGCAATTCAATTGTTGTTTTTACATACGGCTTGACCTCAAATGCTCGCTCTGTTACAGTCATGTGTATATACCTATTGTCAAAGAAGTCTTGCCCACTGTTTTCTTAGGCAGCAGGGGTATTATTTACCGAATCGGAAGGAGGAAAAACAGATATCTGGTGGGGATACGAAGTATCTACTCAGGGGGGTTGGAAAAGCTTGATTCCTAACTAATGGCGCACATAGGTTCCAGGATCCTGACGAGGCAAAAGGCTAATGAACCTATTGTTAGTGATTGGCTACCATGGGACAGCATCTAACATTGCTTGACTGTTTTGCGGATTAGACCTGTAGATGTAAAGCCCCTTTAGGACAACTGCCTACTTCATTTTGGACACCTCGGCGATATCTCAGCGGATAAACATTTAGGCTCCCCTTCGTATCATTAATTATGAGTTTAGAGAAATAAATCAATTGCAAAATATATTGTTGAACCGATAGCGATTCTTATGTCACAATCCTATATAATTCTTTAGAGATAAATCGTGTTTTACTGTTAACTGATTTCTACAATCCTGAACAGGCAAAGCTAGAAACAATGTGTTTAACCAATCTTAATAATCGATGATACTGTTATTTCTTGGCTGTATTCTTCCACATGTCTGCTAGTCTTTGCTTCAGCAGTAATTTCAGGGTGACACTCCAGTGTATATCCAGTCATTGAACCCATGACTTTGGAAGTACCGGCCGGCGGTTTCGTCCTAGCATGGGACGCACCACCGAAGGTCCTGGGTTCGATCCTCGCGAGTGGGAGTCATGGATGCGCACTGCCACTGAGGAGCAGTCCCATACTAGAACGAAACGATTATCTAATGCTTTCAGGTTTCTTTCTAATGGTGGTCTAACAGTGATAGATTCATGATTTTAATGAATCATAACTTATTTTATTACAGAATTCAATTTACTTACTGATAATTGTATATATGACATTTGATAATGTAAAATAGATGAAAGAAAATCCCACCATGAAAATTCTGGCCAATAATTATTAATAAATTTATAAATTGTACCATTTTCTGATGCTTGCCAAGTTAGAAAATCACTTAAACGTATTTCACCCGATGTACGTATTAATAAATCCAATGGTTTTGATAAACGTGTATATAGGCATTTTGATAAAAGTTCTCGTGTTATATCACTGAAATTTTATGATGAAAATATAATTTTGAAATGAATTACAGACAATATATATATATATATATATATATATATTTATAATTGGTTGTTTGAACTTCCTCATTGATGGTTAGGACTGTTTGTTCGGCATTTGTGCGGATTGTCTCGATATGACCCTTAAATCACATGTATTATAAACAAAAAGAAGGATGGTGACTACTAGTAAGACTCAGTACGAGCGTTTCGTACTATTTTGTACTGATAGGCTGGATATACCTGTAATTCAGAGTTGATGTCCGCTCAAGGACTCGAATCTAGTACCATTCACTTTAAACGCTATCGCGTTATTAGGACTTATCCCATTGAATAAGCCAGTGGCCATCTGAACTTAGTAGCTAAGTGGATAACGCGAAGGCGTTTGAAACGAACAGTACCGGGTTCGAGACTCCAGGTGAACATCCACTCTGAGATGCGGGTACATTCAGCCGAGTCGCAAATGGGACGAAACGTGCATTCTGAATTCCACTGTTAGCCACGTTCTATCTGTCTGCTGATATACAGGGTTTTCCCAGAAAATAAACTGCTCCGCATGAATGCCTTCCAAAAGAACAAAAGTGAATGACAATTTCTGCACAGAGGTTCTCAAGCGTTTAATGGATGGTCATTTTACACCAACGCGTCAGCAGCGATAGTACAATAGTTGCTCTATTGCTTTTCAGTCAACATGCTAAATAACCCTTCCTGTTGGCAGATTTAGAGCGACAAGACTTTATTCTTTTCCGGAATCAAATAAGTGGAAGCTGATATTTCAAGGCAATCGGGAGTGGCCTGATGAGAAGGCCATTGAATGACTGTCAGAAAGTGTCCTAAAGAAATGGATGGATATTATTGGTCGAGAAATGGCTTTCTTTTCTAAGGAATTGGATACATCTATGTACACGAGTATTTTTTCACAGTATTCGATAGTCAAACAGACTTCTACTTCCGCTCTTTGTCCTGCTCAAACAGCCAGTTTTAGAGAGTTAGAACCCAACGCCTTCAGATCTCGGCACTGTGCATCATAACAGAGGTGACAACCATTCAGACGTCACGATGGTCGAGCACACAAAGACTCAACGAACATCATCAGCTAACATCAGTTAGGTCTCAAAAACACAGCATGAGTGCTCTTACCAATCATTTATAAACCTGATCCCTGGAAGCCAGGCGATAAATATGCCCGGAATGGTATTCCTTCACTCTATCCGAGATATTTGTGTGAAGAGCTTATAAGATACTGACACACTAAACACATCCTTCTTCAATAAACAATTTCAGAGTATAGACCTCTGCATTTATTTGTTGTCAGTTTATCTATCTTTTCGTTTAGTTTGTTTGTATTGATTTTATTTTTGAACTCTAGGTGCTGCTGTGTATCAATAATAATAAAAATTAACTGACTTATGGTGCGAGCTGTTGTGTTTGTCCATCCGTTTATAGATCTATTCAACAATGATGGGAAATATTTCCAGAAGTGGGTTGTGGAAGCTGTAAAACTTTATCAAAATCATGAACAGACCTAAGTTAGACAACCGTTGAAAATCTGAAAGTAATGAGAGAGCATGTTATCCTAATATTGGACACTTCGACCATCTCCATCCATAATTCCTTGACCAGGAATCGAACTCTAAACCCTAGGTCTCGAGTGAAAACGCTTAGTCCTTAAATCACTGAACCAAGCATTCAATAGCGTACAAAGTTAACTTGAATTAATCCACAATATTGCACGACTTGACATCTGGTGGTTTTAGTTTACTAATCGGTTGTGCAACTTAGATTTTCATGAAAATATTTTGAATATATTATACAAGCATTTAACATTATACAAGTTGAAAGGTGTTGCATGAAGACAAAAAGATCTATGGTAAGAGATTGATCACGAGAAGTGAAGAATATTAAGGGAGATGATGACTGGTGAATTTATTAATCCAATAAAATCTAAATGAATTTACAACAAAAGATTTGATGTAATTTAAGAGGAGGAGGAGGAGAGAAATAAAGGAATGAATTCATTACTTACCTAGGTATAATTTTTCCTTGTTTTACACCTAAACGAACAATTTCCATTGCATTTGTAATGTCATTTCGACTATTATATGCCATACATATGTTTAAAATTGACCTAAGAATAAAAAAGAAAAAAATCTAACTAGTGTGAACTCAGTCAATTAGTTTATCGAAATAGGAGCTGGCCATACGCCTATTACCCATAGTGGAGGGAGCATAGGCCACCGACCAGCATTCTCTAACCTACTCTGTCCTGGGTCTTCCCTTTCTGGTTTTGTCTAATTGTCGTTCATTCTTCTCATTTCTGTCTTCATTTGTCAGAGTAATGTGTTTCTAGTCTTTCTCTTTTCCTTTGGCCTTGAGGATTCCAAGTTGGGATTTGTCTTCTGCTTTTCTCAATATGTATCTTATCCACTTCCAGCGCTTTTTCCTGATTTCTTCCTCCATTGGAATCTGGTTTGTTCTCTTCCACAATAGATGGTTATTGATGGTATCTAACCAACAGATCCAAAGTATTTTGCGTAAACAACTGTTAGTAAATACTTGTATCTTCCGGCTAATGAGTTTCGTTGTTCTTCAAGTTTCTGCCCCAAACAGTTAAACTGTTTTGACATTTGTATTAAGAATTCTGACTGTGATGTTGGTTCCTATCAACATAATCAGATGAAATTAGCTAACGCTAGGGATTGTTTGGAAAAAGTGAAGAGGTGATCAATTTCTGTAAATGGTGTCGTGTTGTGAGAGCTGCACACGACTGGCAATTTTCGACCGTTCACAACTTCCTGGTTGGTCTCTTACAAACCCATTCACTTGCAACTTTATCAAACATGACTTAGAATAGAAACCACCGGTGTACTCTGCTGCAATTTTCTTTTCCTATTTATATATAAGAGAAATTTTTAACTGAAGGAATTATTTCGAGGTGTATTTCTCTTCACTGAATATTTTCTCTCACTCACTATTTACTAATTTCATTCAATTATTTTAAAAAAAAAATTATATTCACTTTTCTTCATCTCATTGCAATCTTATTTTCTTACCGTATAGTTTGTATTATTTTTTAAATATCCCTTTGTGTCAACATATTTAAGTTTTTAAATAAATAAATAACTGATAGGATGAAAAAGCCAAATTATACAGTCAGTCAACTACAACATAGAACTTAGTACGTGTACGCACATCAGTTCAAATTGCCGTACCACATTAGCGTTGACTTCCTCATACGTTACAAAAGGACGACTCAGATGAAACACAGACAACTGACTACGACATGACAATAACAAACACAATGAATAGGGAGAAAGTTGAAATAATTAGCATTATTAATGATATGAAGAAAGATTACCGTTTGGAAAACATGATTAAAGGAGAAATGATGCGTTAAGAAATAATAAAAAACTTAAGATTCACAGGAATATGAAAAAAGTGAATCCGTTTAACTGTATATAACTAACTGTGAGTTATTTTGCTCTCAATATAATATGGCAACTTGAAATGACGTACGTACGTACGAAGTTCTATGTTGTTATTGAATTGACTTATCTTGCTCTCAAATACCTTTAACCAGTGACTCTAATCAACGAAGCTGAATTTGATAACACAGTTCAATTTGGCAATTAGTGATTTTATAAAGTGTTACTATGCATAATTTGTTTTATTTCAGTTTCTTTTGAATTTTCTATGATAGTTAACACTGTGAATTAGGATAAATGGTGTTTAGGCAAGAGTGACACATATATTTCACATATTTTATATCGATGAAGATTGAATGTCATCATTTTTGTTTGGACCACTAGATTCAATCTTAGTATTGTTTATTTTCTTTTTTTTGTACTACTAAATGTAAGTAATATTTCTAAAGATATCTAATAACTTACAAATATGTACAACTTTCAAAAACTATGTAGTCAAAAGTCATATAACTGAGATTATTTATTTTGATAACGATTATACATAAAATTGAAATAATGAATGGATTATTAAGCCACCATTAGAAACCTGGAAGCACTGAACGGCTGTTTCGTCCTAGTATGGGACTCATCAGTTGTAAGCATTCATGATCCCGATAGCCAAGGACTCAATAATCTCCGTAACTCTATGATGAAAATCATAAAATGTTCTCACTAGTGAGAAGCTTCGTGAAGAAGTTCTCGGAGTTCCAGTGAGAAACCGTGACCAGTGGGGTGAAACTCTGTCGGGTGTAGGCAGTTATCTGCCAAAGACAATTGGTAAGGTTGTGCAATACCTCAGATTGATCAAAGTTAGACATTAATATCGTTGGATGGGTTAAGCGTTCGCATACAAGATCGAAGGTTCTATGTTAGGTTCCCACGAGTGGTGGTCGTTGATGCGTACTGCCGATGAGTCCCATACTGGACGGAACAGCAGTTCAATAATGCTTTCAGGTTCCTAATGGTGATCTGAAAACGATTGGTTGATTGTTTCAATGAAACTCTATAATGAAAATAATATGCATAAGTTATAATGTTCAATAAAAGTTATAGAAACTTTAACATTTTTCTTACTAACTTTGAATGATTTCTAGTAATAAGCATTAATTGTGCAGCTAAACATTGAATTTTCACTGGTAGTAATGTTAAATTCCCAATAACACGAATACATATATCATCGGTTTTAAGTTCATTTCTAAAAAAAAGGAAACAAATATATATATATATATCTATCTTTTTTGAAGAAATAAAGTGATAGTAACAATAATAAAAATTGATATTTCTTACTTATTATCTAATAATTCTTGAAGTTTTTCTTCAGCTAAATTCATTAAAAATGAAACTTCTTCATGAGATCGATTGAAATTATCAATACTAAAAGTAAATATTGACACTTCTTCAATGCCTAGATCACGACACCATTGTAAAGTCTAAGGAAGAAAAATGTGTACATAAATATATATATCAATAAGTTTATTTAAATAAAAGTATATTTTTGAAATCAAGAATGAATCATTGTTACAGACCACCACCCTTAGAGAAATTTGGAAGCACTGAAAGATGACCGTTTCGTCCTGGTATGGGGCTCATCAAAGGCACTGAGCGTTCATGACTCCTGTTACTCGCAGGATTCGAAACGGCCATCTTCCAGTGCTTCCGGATTTCTCTAATGGAGGTAGTCTATGACAACGATTCATTCATGATTTCAATGTGTAAACACAATGATCTTTAGAATACTATATAGCAAAAGTAAATTTACTATTGAAAAAACACAACCACAACATACCTCAGAGAGTTTTTTGAAACCACATAAATGACCATCAGATTTTTTTAACATATTACTACTGGCAAAACGTCTATTTCCATCCATAATAAAAGCAACATGTTTTGGAATTGGCCCATATTTTATAGCATTTAAACATAATTTTTGTAATATTCCATATTGTACTTCTGAACGAGTCCAAGTCATTGGAATTCTATAAGATATAAATAGTACATCGTAAATATACTAGCCAGCTACAAATTTGAATTTGATGCATACGTACATCTGTTCGACAGTTCCCCGTGAAATAAATTTAAAAGGAGACAAAAAGTCGTGAGGAATTCAGAAGATTGAAGTTGAGAGAAGACAAAGAGTGGATACATCTAGGCTACAGCGAACGATTTTGAACCATGTCAGTCTATAGCATTTACTAGATAGGGTAGGGTTGAAGACGACAAATTAGTGAGTCAACAAAACAAATGAACAAATTAATTACTTTTTGAACAAAAAACTAGAATGTTATTATTTTTACGGTAGATTAAATACTGGTAAAAATTAAACGTTTACTGCAGTGTAAGTATGCATAAAATTGTAAATTGCTTTAAAAATATGATGTATTTTCTTCAAATAGTACTCAAAAACATTTTTGGGATACTTTACTATTTATGCACGACACAAATCATTGGATTAGTGAATGGACTGAGATACTGTCCGTGTGCGCATACACAAGCACATGGCTTTTCAGGAGGTTACTCCCCGAATCTCTAACCAAAAGGTCTAATCTACAAAGCAGTGGAGTATCTTCAAGAGAGGCTATCCCATGGCAGTCTGTCACTAACAATAGGTTAATATATCATTTGTCCTATCAGGAACCTAGAGCCCATGTGCACCACTGGTTTAGAATAAGGGTTATCTAACTCTGGTGGATAGATTCTCCGCACTAACAAACCTAGTTTAAGACTTTTTAGACATTTGATTCTCATTTTATCAGTGTGATAAACAACACCCCTGAGGCACGATAAGGCAATGAGAAGGATTTCTCTAACTTTGGCTATATATGCGTGGTCATGCAAAAGCATTTAGAGAAGAGAAAGCTGTCCTCAATCTCAACTACCAGAGCATATTCCAGCTATGATGTTACAACCACATCGTTCCACTTTTTATATGGTAGTTAAACCAAATAAAACTGCCGTTTGATATTCAAACAAAAAAAACTTATCAGACCTACTGAATTTTGTCAAAGTCCATAGATTATTAAAGTTGATTTACAAAGATTGTTTCATTACTCCTTAAATTTATGTAACCATTAAGTCGTCATTTCTTTGCTTAGGTTTTTAATCATTGACAATAAGATTGACTTGATATAATTGGAGTAAATGTTGGCGTTACTAATCTAGAGTCAGGATTTTGTATAAATTAAGCTATTCAAGATCAAGATATAGTAAAACACTATTTTAAGTTCCTCACCATTTATTTATTGAACTAAATCTAATGATTAGTCGTTTAAATTGTTCGGAAATTGTATCGATCATTTTTATTACATTTGTAATAATTCGATCACAGTAACGACTATGGTATATTTGATTGTGTATGTGCGATTCTCACTCGTTAATTACATTTCTAGCCTATTGTTGCCTGACTATAAATACTTAGACATGCTTCAGTGCATGAGAGTTGGCTCACTCACTTTTGGCAACTTGCTTCGCTTTAATTATACGTGTTCATTTATATGTCTGTCTGCTTCAATGAATGCATGAAATAAATTCATCTGAAAAATTGTATTTAGCTTCGCATTACTACCACAGAGTTCGCCTAAGTAAGATTTACGGAAATGGAGAAAAAAAATCTACTTTATCACCAAGTCGATCATCCGTTCAAATTAGAGATAGACCATGGGTCACTATATTGGTGAACCCTACTCTGAACCACGATTTTAATATTTGAATTTGCTATCTGTTCAATGATGTATAAACATGCGGACCTGTATATACCTACTGTGAAACGTGTAAAAGTGTATAATTGATCGAAGTGAAATTATAACATACTGCCGACTTTGATTGGCCTATCAGCTAATCAGAAAACACTGCCTATTTATAAAACAATCCACAAACAAAAAGAGACCCTGAATAAACACAAAACAAAATCAACTTTCAATAAATGAGCCTAATTTAAGTGTATATCGCGCTCGAAATCAAATAAAATTAACTACCTTTTTACTGTGTTTTGTAAAATATCTTGTTACATTACTTGTGGCTTGCTTAAAATAATAAAATTGGGATTATAACTCTATAGAACATAAAAACTATTTGAGAATGAGGCAAAAAACATGAAAGTAAGCAGACAATAGTTACTGAAGTCGTGGCTTACGAGACCGAAGTAGTTATCCAATTTTATCGAAGAAAACGCGAAGCAGTAATTAGCGACGTCACACAGTAACGCACAATTTCAAAAGCACCGCTTCGAGTTTCAATCTTACTTGGATTGAATGTTCAATGACTTCTTCACGAAACAGTATAAACCAATAGATTTCTTTGCGGTAGATTCTTGTTCTTTCGGGACGGTTCCAAGTATTTTGTATTATTCAATGAATTTAGATATAGCCATCCGACTGTCCAATTCTAGTCAGTGTTTGTTTCAGGACAGTATGGTTTCCGAATACCATCAGCCGAAGATCAGTTAGTTGAGATCTAGAGAATAGCAGAAATATTCTAATGCTGAAAAGATTTCTGACGTAAGTTAGTAGGTGCGTAAACTAGTTAATAAATTTGTAGTGGAGATTGTACCAGAGAACAGAAGAGTGATAGAGTTATATTTAGTTCATGATCTGAGGAAATAGCGACAATCACAACTGGCTAGTCTTAAGACATGCAGTAGGCAAAGCTGGTCCAAGACAGAGATAGTAATCCATATGTGAGCACGCATTTATCAGGTCTTTTCTTGAAGTGAGGGAGTTGTGGTCACTTCAGGTGGAAGGGCATTTCAAGTTGCGACAAATCTTAATGAGAAAAAATGTGCATAAACTTGAGTTTTCGCGCTTTTAATTTTCCCTTTACCTTATTCTTATGGATCCGACCTATAATTAATAGGAAAAATGAGTCATCAGTTCAAATTAAGTCTCGAGCAGACAACAAAACAAAGCTTATAGTTCTGTGTGAAAACGACTTTGTCATCCCCACTCACGTTAGGAATCTAAAGTGCATGAACATGAAAACAAGTTTTCCTCAAATTTCTCCTGGCCTGAAGTTTCCACCAAAATAACTCTAGATTACGAACTATATAATTTACATCATGTGATGACAAGACATAATTTCAGGATCATCGTAAATGCTCGAGCGATGAGCATGTTTAAACATATATCTGATGCTTTTTCGGAAGTATATTAAAAATATTCAAACAGTCTAACACTGTCATTCCGTTTTCAGACACTCAACATTCGAAAGCTAGTCCAATTTCTTTTTAATGGGCTGGTATGTACCCGTTTATTTCTTCTCGCTCATTTCTTTTGGTTTCAGAATGGTTCCAGGATACCAAGTACTTGGCTGTTCACTAACAGCTATTTTCCAAATCAAATGTCTTTGAGCAGGAGATTTATCTGTTAAGATGCTTTTGATCATTATCCTGGTAATAGAATATGCCTTCATTCAACCAGTTCTTACGTCCCATATTAACTCGTCTTCAGTGCCGTTAGATAGCGAGCTAATAAAATTAACTTTCCCTAACAGAAGGCGAGATGTACTGTTTATCTGTGGTGTATTTTGCAGCAGTTTTCCAGCGTTCCTGTGTATGGATTGTTTATCATTTTTTGTGTTGCCCATAGTAACTGAAGAGCATAGCAAATGAAATACTAGCAAAAGCCGTCGTAGTACCCACTGAACCAAAGGGGCCTCCAAGCTTTCTTCTGAAAGACTTGCAAGAGAACTTCATCTATAAGCTTCTATTAAGGAATTCATAACTTACTTGTCTGAACCAAGAAAAATATTTCACTACTTTTTCTGCGAGTTCTTTCTACCTGGAATGGAAACCCTTTGAAATATGATTTATTACTATGGTGTATCAGTGCTCAATCTTGATAAGGATAGCTATGAGAATCATGTTATTTAACGATGATTTTCGTTCCAGTCTTCATATAATATAGTGTCTGTAAATCAGTAGTTTGCAGATTATATGAATAGGGTCTAAGTTTTAGTCCACATACTTTAAACTTGCTTTTGGAGTAATACTATTCTTAAGGTGGGAGGTGATTCAGGCCGCTTTTCGAATGAGGTACTATTTGAGTCAAATGACTTTGAACACGTCTACAAACTATTTAAGTTCGATTGACAAGGTTTATCCCAAGTCTCGTACTAAAAATGACGAAGACCTAGTAGTTTTGATGAAATAAGTGTACTTGCTGACCGAAACGTGTTAGAAAAATGGGCGAAGTTTCGGAGCAGCGAAAGCAAGTTGGCTACAACTAAGAAGGAGTGTTGCGACTTGACCAACGGTGTTTTTCTTCTTAATAGTGGAATTACTACAAGTAGAACACTGGAGAATTTTGAAGTCAGGCTACCAAACATTTCCAAAAGAAACCTCACGATTACTTTATTGATCCTACATGGGTTATGAAAATTCTGTACACACGAAAGGGTTGGGGGTACTTTTGTGACGAGCCTACCGGGCTGGTTCCAATCCTTCGAACAAATTAACCAATCCATTTTTTCCGAGTTACTATACACTTGTCTTCGTTTTGGTTATTTCTATTTGAGTATGTGTGTGCACCCTTTAATTCGCTTATTGCACGTCTAACCTATTTTGTCTGACTATAAACATCTAGTCATGCTTCATCGCACGAGTTGGCTCGCCGGCCTTCTCCACTTCACTTAGTTTTACTTCCAGTCTGTATCCATGATCGACCACTTGGAGTAAGCTCATGAAACCAAATTCGTAATGGCCATACCATAAGTTACATCATTGGGTAATCAAAGCTTGATTGTCTGCTAGGTAACAATGAAAAAGGCACACAGAGTATCTAACACACTAACGCTCAGGATCTTTTTAGTGGTGTAAGTGTGATACTGAAGTCTTTCAGCAAGTACGTAGTGAATGGAATGCCATACCTTTTGATCATCAACATCCTTTATTTGGTAATGTTGAGCGGGAGCAGGTTTTAGTTTTTCCAGCCCTGAATTCTGTGATAGTCATAATGAACAATCAGGATTTCGTTTAGGTCAACCGTTTCTCTAAAGATCTTTGATTAATAATGAAAAGGAGAGTTTGTTAGTTTAGAGAGTTAGACCGGTCCATAACTAACAATAATGTGTAGTAAAAGTGATACTTAGAAAACCAGTCTCAAAAAGATAGCTTGTAATCTCCTGTTAATGTAATCTGAGAGTCTCATAATCACACACCGGCTTACAAGCATAGAATTCAATTTTCAAAACACAATCTAGTTGTATGCTCTGCCATTGTCTTGGGGAAATTCGCGAGGTCAATATGCGCCTGATGGATTTCGGCTACTGGGATGGGGTCACATTGATTCTTTGAGACTTGAATTATTACCCGTGCAGCAGCTGAACTAATAAAGATGTGGATGGATACCAAGCTGCCTCGTGACACGACTGTTATGTATCAAGTCACTCTGACGTTGTGTATTGCATCTGTCAACTAACCGGAGTAGCTGTGCCCCCTGCTACATCCATTCCACCTCACTTCAGCTCAATCCGACAGCCGATCTAAAATTACTCGGTTAGATTAGTTCAAACAGCTAACATTAGCATATCCCATCAAGCATATAAAAAGAAGCCAATCCACTCAGAAGTACCTAAGACTGATCCTCATCTTTATTCCAGAAATATCCTCCCCGACAGCAGCAAACAATAGTCTACATCCAAATAAACCGTCGTGTTTCACCTCATTTTCTTCAGAGGGAGGTGTTAGGATATTCATCCAATATCCTAAGAGAATTATTGGTCAATTCCTATTGGTTAATTCCTACTGGTCAATTTTATGGTCGTCCCAGATATGATTGTCACATGCTCCAATGCTGTTTCTTATTGGTTGTCCTGACTATGTTACTTGAAATGTTGCTTCCTATTGGTCGTCTTAACTGTCAGTATCGCAGACTTCGATGCTGTTTCCTATTCGACCTAAATATATACATACGCATTATCTGTAACGTTTTATCACCAGGACCCAGTCCCGGATCCCTAGTCCGGGATCCTGATTCTCTTCTGGATTCGGACCTCGTACTTTCTGGATGCTTGTAGAATACAGGTTCTACTTCGTATATAGCCCTCCCTTTTATTTAATGGGGGGTTAGGACACTTGGATTAGAATAGCATGTCGTGTCGCCAGAACCTCGACCCTCGCTCTCGTGTTTCCGACTAGGTAAACTCATAATAGTTCAAGCATATCAAAATGACGTGTTTATGTGCAGGTGTAACATGGTTCTGTTCCACTGAGATGGTAGAGCTATTCCAGTTAGTGAACAAGTTTATGTTGCAGGATCTTTCAGGCATAGAGCCGCGTTTCTGTTCAAGGTAAAAGGATTCAGTGAGGAAGTAGTTGTTAAGACTGATTGATAACTCACCCTTGACCTTCGTTACTTTGGAGTTTAAAGACAGCTGTTGGTCGTTCGAAGCTTCGATCTTGACATTCCTTTTATGTACAAGCATAGTCGTTCCGTTTTTCTGATGAACGATATTTTATGATAAACTTAAGATCATTCGGAGAGAGTAGCAAGAGGTGAGCAAACAAAGTCCCGCGCGTAAACATGCGGTTATCTGAGGCGTTCCTCATAAGGCTTGATGTTGCAGTGACCCCGCTTTTACGGAGGAAACGTGATTGGTCTAATAAGACCATTTATTATAGTAATCAGTTGTACCAGTGATTGTTTTACTGAACTCTTTGTTCATTCTCACTCTGTACAAACACTACATTTATGTTATTGCTATCTCGGTTACTCTGCTCGGGGTAGCCTCACCCATATCCGTTGGCACGATCTCGGTAGTCTTTCGATATTACGAGATCACCAACAAATATACATTCTTTTCTGAATTAAATCTTCTCTATCTTTGATTCATGGAGAGATTACGATTAGTGAAGGGAACGTATTCGGTATGTAGTGGTGTTCATAGTTAACCTCGACTCGCGCCGCTATAAACGTTAGCCCACTAAATCGCTTAGTGCATTATCTTTGGATATGGCTTCGTGTATTCCTATTCGTTTGAGGTAAAGTCGAAAGCGCTGTATTTTTGTGCGATAAACAAAGGTAATTAAAGTAGAAATTCGTGATGTAAAACTGACCATGAGTGTACTTCAGTGGTTACTAGTGCGAGTTTAGCTATGAAAGTGATTCGCTCATAATAAGTATAAGGTCTTAAATTACAAGAAACCAGGATAGCAAAATTTTTTCAGATTGCCTGTCATTCAGGATGGTAAGCTTGTGTCTTTGTGACATTCGAATCGCA